TTGCTCCTGGCAGTAAGGCCAGGAGCCCCTAGTAGCGTCCTTGCTCCTAGTAGCGATGCCCTTTGCTCCTAGTAGCGTCCTTGCTTGACACACCTCCCTCAGAGCGAGTTGCTTGGGCATTGCAAGACACGACAGAGTGTGCTGCCGGAAGCTGAGCCGGCTGCCATGACCACAACAGGCTCATAGGTCTTGAAGCTTTCTTGACACAACTCACAAAGGCGAATCCTCCTGTTTGTGATGCATGAGTCTCCGCTGATTTTATTTCCGCACAGGAGACGAAAGACAAAATACTAATGTTCTCTTTGTATACCGGGTCCACAGCCTAGATGCACCTGCGTACGGGTGTCGAGCAACACCTCTTGAACAAGCTGTGTCAACGGCTCTTGAATTGTACAGTCTATCTCAGTCCAATTGCCACTGTGCAAAGCGTGCTTCGCTCGACTGGCCTTGGTTTTATATAATATATTTTGATGGGTTTGCCTTGGTGTGAGAGGGTGTGCGCAGCGCCTCTCCCCAGAACAATCCAAGCTGGACCGGACAGTTTGGTTCGGCTGGCGCGGCTTGAAAATACTGGAGAGGGTGAGGGGAGGGCGCAGTCCCAAACCCAAGCATCAATGGGCAGTTAGCTTGACCTTGGCTTGGGTGGCTTACTTTAAAGGCTTCAAAAAGCTGGAGTGCGTTGGAAGGGTGAGGACGCCCCCTAATTACCCCCAAGTGCAAACGCAAAGTTGCTTCATGCATGGTTCATGCTTTGCAATGTCCTTGTCAGGGCTTCCAGCCCGGAAGCAACAAAGAGCATAAAGGCAGCCGCAGCCGTGCATCTGCCTAAGGGCCCAGGGCCGTCAATGTACTATCTAACTGGTCCCTCCCCTCAGTGTCCGACAGGGTCATGCTGCCCGGGTGGGCAGACATTGTGCTGACAATTGCTTTGATGCCATCATTCTGAGCCACAATTTGCCGACACCTCAGGGCTGAGCATGCTCACAGAGATGCGTGAGAGAGTGAGCATGCTCAAATGTAATGTGAACCCAAAACCAGCAATCTACGTGTCGCACCTCGCAGCACCACGAGTAAACTCAAAGGTCAGCTCAAGCGCACTCGACACAACCTGCGCTGGCGAATAAGGAAGCATGCAAACAGTACAAGAATACTCCGTAGTGGGAACAAACACTAGGCCCTAAAAGGGCTTCTGAAAAGTATCTTCACTACAGGTACATGCATCCTATTGGCTCTTTCAGGTCACATTCCCAAATCCACGGCACTCACCAGTACTATCATGGAAAACCCAGCCAGTGCCAGAGTTCTCTGACCTACCACTCATGCGAAGGACACACTAAATATGGCAAGTATATGCATGCTAACATCATGAGCAAAACTAAAGGCCAAACTTTACGAACTTATACAATGTGGGAAGCAAAAGGCAACGGGCAGCGAGCGCTTCGGACAAGGAGGCTCTTGTAAGAACGCCCCCCAGAGATCCAAACAAGAGAGCAAATGCAACTGTATAGAAGGATGAGAAAGGTGCGACCTGTGACAAAAGAAAAAGTGGAGTTCCCTAACAACTTCTCATGTTCCACTGCGAAATCACAATCACAAATACATACAAATACAAATGACTGCAGGTTCTGTGTGCAACAATCATGGTTTGCCACAAGATCCTATCACATACGGCAGCGCCGGCGTTCATGTTTGCTACAATGTACGAATGACACCCAGCTATGATAAAGCAAAATCAAGAAATGCCTCGAAAAAGCACAAACAACCAACGAGACCTTTGTCTGCTACCGTCACAGGAGGCAGCAAAACTGTTTCCTGAAAGGGCCCAGGCATGTACTGCGAGAAACAAAGCCTCAAAAACTTATGCAACAAATGTTTTGGCATAAATCTTTCAACTATGCCAAGCTGTCTCTGCATTACAAGCTTGCGGTACCGGTTAAAGGCTACTTGCACTACTCCTTGGCTGTCTGCAATGCAAAGGATGCGCTGCCCTTCTGCTCCGACAGCCTCGAGGTGGGGCTGCATGAGCTGCAGGATCTTCAGGATACTTGGAAGCTGGGCCACGTCATCTTGGTCTACACTTCCCAAGTACTCCTGGGAAAGAAAGCAAGCTTGGTTGGACTCAGGAGAAGGTTGTAAGAGTGCAATCTACTCTGATAAGCTTTGAAAGTGGGAAAAGGGAGCATTCGATACGCTTCGAAATTTCATGAATTTTGTGTCCTTGACGCGGACCACGCCTTGCTGCATTTTGGGATCCCCTGGAACATGCGACGTCGCTGACACTGATTGTATGTGTGATGCGCCCACGTCAGTGCCACCTTTCAGAATACTGCCGCTGGGCTTTAGGCTGCTATGCTTAGGCACATGTTTCCCCTGTTCATCGTCTATCTCGTGCTCATCTTGCAACATAGCCGTGCGCATCTCTTGTTCCTTCCACCCCATTGGATCTTTTAAGGTCTTCAGCAAACGGCCCATGCCGCCACCACCAGGACTAGCTTCTTCGAGATCGTCATCTCTGAAACGAAACCTTTTGTCAACTGCATCACCACGCTCCTCGCTGCTCCCAGTTTCAGCCACCCGCTCAGCCCTTCTCTGACGCCGCTGCGCGCCCTCCACCTGCCTCTGAAGCAAGTTTGACAAAGCCAATGGCATGTCGCCTGCTTTGTAGGAGTCATGGAGGGCCTCCTCCAAAGCAAGAATCAGGCTGTCCTTCACTCGCAAATGACTGCGTCGATGATACACCACTGGAGCCCTTTTCAAGACCGGAAACTGGACACTCCAGCTGCTGTACCTTGGCGTCGGGAAGTGTCAGAAAGTGTCAGGCATCGTCATCATCTTTCCTTTTCTTGGAGGTCGTTGAAGCCGTAAAGGGGGATGGGGTAGGATTAAAACAAGCAAACGAGCGTGACCAAAGGTGTGATTAAATTCCTGGTTGTAAGGATCTGCTTACGCAGCGTACGCTATTATTCCTTCCGCTTACACAGTTTTTGCTCCTGCGCCAAGGCTCCGCTTACACAGTTGATTGAATTTGCAGTTCCGCACAGCTGCAGCTTACGCACATTTTCCGTTCAAGGAAAAAGTGCATTAAAGTTCGTTTTCAGCGGTTTTTTGTGCTGCGAGTTGTCTGCACCTCTTGGCAGCTTGTCTGCTTAAAGCCCTGGCCTTTGCTGAATGCCTTTGAGAGACCTCTTGGGAGTCGGCATCTTACTACCTCTGTCCGTTTCTCGTGCCTCGTGCCATATTCTTTTGGGTCAACTCGGTTGCATCACCCGCGTGTGGCCTAGTTGGTTCCCATGCTCGAGGTTTCTATTTTGGTTGGCATCGTGGACTAGGATGCACTAGCGAGATGTTTCTTTACGCACTGCTTACGTGCGACTTACGCACATGTTCACGCATCTGGCCAAAAAAAAAACATGAGATTTGAATGAGACGGAAAAGATAGCTTCATTGGAACAACCGCAATGCCGCAAAGAACACATGCACATTATATAATATGTATATATATATATACCTTACTGTCGTTATTTTGCAAAACTTCCAGCATCATCATGTTTACGCCCTGCCTGCGCACACTGCAATGTCACCATAAGCTTACGCAACTTTACGCCACTCACAGTTTTGCTTACGCACACTGCTTTTATGTCGTCCCTTTTGCCAGTTCATGTGAAGACTAGTTTTAGACTATGCTCAGATGGATCATATAAGTAAAGCTAAGCAGCCAAGTAGCAATGCTTTAGGTAGCGTTTGAGACACAGACTCGGCCGAAAGACACGGATTCTTCAAGGAAGCCTCCCCCGCCGCCGTAAAGCACTATTCATTTGGTGTCTAGAATTTGGGGGAAACTTATGTAACTTTAAATATGTCACAGTGTTTGTTATGTTGTTAACTTTCTACCTATCTCCTCACTATATAACTCAAAGATTTGCACCATCCATAGACGAGACTCTCTTCAGGAGAATGCACGTCGCCATTGTAAAATGGCACAATAGGTACATTCGCTGCTTCAGCCCACTGAAGCTCCTTCACACGTGGCATATGCACATCTGTGCATCACAAGCTGCACTGACTGAGTCTCAATCTCAGAAGTTCAATGGCTCTTGGAGCCTAGAGGATTCAGTGCCGTAAGGTTGACAAATAAGCCGCCGAGGATAATGCCTCACAAACGCTAAGTTTAAGGCTTCTCCTGATACATTCCGTGGTGGTCCAGGAGGGCAGAGCGGTTGACAATTCCAACCAAAACTCGGGAACTCACAATTTCATTCTTTAACTTTCGCCTTGGCTCGGCTGTCGGCACAAAATCTGACTTCGAGCAAATGAGTCACACCAAATCACAGCCAAATTATGCTTTAAAGGCTGTTGAGATTTCTACTCAACGAGGATTTGAAGACTGAGGCTCTCATCCAAGATCCGGGACAGATTGGTTGCATCAAAGCGCGCACTCAAACTCAAAGATTCACAGATTGCCCAAATCCAGGATGCAAACTGCTGCGAGAAATCGCCAGACCTTGGCTGTCACACCCTGCTGACATGACAAAACACCTCTTGGTTTCTTGCTACGTCGAAATAGCAGTGATACACAGCTGCACCATAGCTCCACAAAGCTCTGTATCGCACTCCTGTTGTTCATCTTCCATTAGGCCGGCTCCATGGTGATGTGAAATAAAGACCTGCAACCGTCCTCTCTTGGCATTTGCTGTGTAAAGCCAACAACGAGATCCTTTAAATTGTTGCTGTAACACTTGCATCCGATATCAAGCCGTTCAGGCGAACACAAAAAATATAACACTTTGCCGCCAAATTGCATCAAAGCGCTTTGGTGCTCTCGGTGTGACCGCCTCATTCACAATGGTTTCCAAACTTGTCTTTGCGCCGACAAGGTGCAGCTGTGGAGCATCTTCACTGGCATGGCTGGCCTGACTCCCACAACATTGAGCAATCTCAAGACACGTCTAATGTTCCCTCTTTTTCGCGAACTGAGGCAAGCACGCAACCACCCATCCATCTGAAAGGCTTACCATAATATGCCCAAAACAGGGAAAGTCCGTGGGTGATGCAAATGACACAGGACACACACCCATACTGATATCTATATCAATGTGCATCTATATCTATGTCTGTGCTTGTGTGTGTGTGTTAATTTACTATATAATTGTGCGTTCTTCTGCGCTGAGCCAGTAGAACGTGCGGCATTCCCAATCTGAGACAGCCAAGGCAAAGCGTGTAGCCTGCACGATTTGTAGGGTTTAGATGGGTTTTGTATTTCGCACTCTGGATCTGAGGGAGGAAGCCAATCAAGTATGCTTAAACGGATGGCTGGCTCTGAACATTCAGAGCTGGGAATAGCCTGAGGATGGGCCCTGCCAATTCAATCTTTTACCACATCTCGCGGCAATCCTGATCGCTGCAGGTGAAAGCCTGATTAGCTGCGATTAGCTGATTGAAGTGTATGAGTCATTTTAACCAGGGTTTTGTGGCACTGCACGGTGCAACGTCCAAATGATTCAAGAGAGCAAATCATGAGCAACTGCTAAAATTAACAGCTTTGTGTTTGCACTGGTGAGCCGCCGTGTCAGTACCCCCCATCTAGTGTACCTTTGCAGTGGAACTCTGCTTGAATTAGTTGCCAGCAATCAAGTCCATTGTACGGACTTGTTGCCACTATTTTCCGCTACGCACCTCCTTTCAGCGATGCTTTCTTCTGCTTCTGTCGCCGCTTCTTCTCCCCGCGATCACAAAGGTGGCAAAAGGAACAGGCCGTACCGTTCAGGCATCCCTTTGCATAAAAGAAACCACACGGTTTACATGTTCCAAATGCATGACCTGCAGATCCTGCACTTGGTAGTTCCTTCAGCCCTCGGGCTGACGGGTTCGCACGTGCAAAACCAAGATCAATATCCGCACCACGTTGGCCATAGTTAGAAACATAGCTGGTGGCGTAGCAGGGGTATGCCTCCGCACGGTCCACGCGGGGGGGCACGTTGATCTCCTATCACTCCTACTGGCGCTGGTGGTGGCCGCACTACAGATCCTGGCTCAAGAACTTGAGGAGACAAAGCGTGACCAGATTTCGGGATGCTGAGAGCATCCTCCAGGCGAATCACGGGTCTGCAAAATCCAGAAGTCTCTTCCTGCAACGAATTCCGGCACTCAATACAGAACTACGACACGATCGACATGCATGATTCCATGAGACAACAGGCCATGTCAGCTCAGACCCTCATTTCCACCCTCCTCTGCATTTCAGAGCAGGGCCTTTTGGTTGGCTGTCAAGCCGGTCATCTACATTGACCAAACCATTTGTTTGTCCATGCAAGGAGCTTGCATTTCCATCCTCACCGTACACCTATGCCCATTGAACACTGGTGTGGGTGGGTAGGAAAAATAAACAAATCTCACATCATGTGAGATCCATTGGGCCTGAGCCCAACTCTACAGAGGAGGTTCATCCCTCCCACCCTCCAAGGCTTTGTTTGGCCTTTATGTCTATCATTACATTCTGTACTTCTACGACAACAGGCCATGTTAGCTCAGACCCTCCCACCCTCCTTTGCGTTTCAGAGCAGGGCCTTTTGGTTGGCTGTCAAGCCGGTCAACACCATGTGGCTTTCCACGCAAAGAGCTTGCATTTCCATCCTCCTTGGCACCGCCGCAAGTCTTTCGCAGACACTTTGTGCATTTTCTGTGGTTCACGTTGAGCTGGGATTGCAGTGCCACCCTGGATGAGCTTCTGCTGAACGGCCAGCCACATGTGGTTGCCCGTCCGCGACACCACTATTTCGTGTGCTTGTTTTGCCTTCATTGGGTGTGCCTCCTCCGCTGCTTGTGTGGGCTCTGGTCCATCAGCAAGTCCCGGAAGGCCTTTGTTGACTTTTGTCTTGTCCTTCATCCCAATGCTTCTGGCCTGAACGTCCCACCATCTCATCACGCTGACCTCGATCTTGCTGAGCATCCATGCCACTGCCCAGGCATAGGACAACGCAGGCCTTGCCGTTGAAGCATCCACTTCACTTGTTCAATGTCCTCCAATTTGAATTCTGGGGCTCTCTTGACTGGGCCTCTGTCCCTCTTCAACGATCTTTTGCAGTCCACTATCAACTTGTTCAGCTGTTGGCTGACCTCCCAACTGCCTCCACATGGAGCAGTTTAAGTTCGTTGATGTATTGGTCTCCTGAGGCCCAGCCCACGGCCTTGGTCGCCGCCGCTACCTTCTCCACCGTCGAAAGACGTTGCGCCTTTGATCGCAGGCTTCCACGGCCATAACCATTCTTGGTCTTTTGCGCTGCTTTTGAGGATTTGGCTAGGAGTCCTTCTTTCAGTTCCCGCCTAGCCGTTTCCAGATGTTCCTTGCCCTTCAGGATGCGCATGACCTCCTCAAATGATCCTCTCCTTCTGCTTTCTGTCATTTCTGCTCGCCCTCCTTCTCCTTTGTCGGTCACATTTCTTGCGAAAAGCACTCACGCACGTCATGGGGCCCCCCGAACCAAGCCCAGCGCCCCCATCGTTCTTCTTGCGCTCACTGAATTCGCGACCCACGTCGAAGCAGTCGAAGCATGGGGCCCGGTCCACCAGAGATTCGGCCATAGCTTTCAAGATTCTTGCCCGCGTCGACTTTGCCAAAGGTGACTCGCTGACCTGTCGGCTCCTGGATCTTTGTTGATCTGGCGTGAGGCTGCTGGGGCGACAATTCCTGAGTTCCCTCACTAGTGATGAAGACGGGGTTCGAGCCCTGCCCTTTTCTTTTGTCGCTCCCTTTGCCCATGGTTCTGTGATCCTGCTCTCAACCGCGTCCGGCTCCGCCAATTCCTCTCTCACTGATTTCCGCGGAGTGCGCCACCTTCCGCAGAATCCGATCGCCGACCCAGTGCACTGCAGAATAATGGCCAGCCCAAAGAAGAGCCACCCCGCTATCACAGCAAATTCGCCGAAGGGAAACACTTCTGGTGGCTCTACCGGCGTAAGAGGGCGCATCTCCACGGTCGCGATTTGGGCCATGATGTCCTTCGAACGTTCCACCAACTCCAACGTTCACGATTCACGCCCTCACAGCTTGAACGACACAATGACAAGACGAAGAGACAAATTCCCTCCAATGTTCAGTGGTCCAACAAAACAAAACTACCCTCCAATCGAAGCGTTCCGACCGGCCCCGCCCTCGAGCCGAGAATGATGGACAGCTACCGTTGAATCCGCTCCTTCCAGGTAGAGGCTAAGAAACCAAAAAACATTAAAAATACAAAAGATACAACCCTGAAATGCAACTTTTTTGCATGGTTCTACCTCCTAACTGGCCCTGGTTTCCAAATATCATACTCAAATGAGGGCCACAATGCAAATAGCACCCAATAAGCCAATTGAATTTTGAATCATGTTGTCCTTTTGTGTGTTGTCAAGAAGCATTTGCGCAATTTTTGCGTTGTGGCAAAATAGAAACAAAGGCAGTCGGGCCGCAAAATCAGCCAACACCCTCGTCGACACGTCAGCAAAACGAAACAAAATACAAAATTTGGTTTCGCTACCTGCCTCGGCAATTTTCTATGTGTTTTTGTACTTTTTGGCTGTATTTTTCGTATTTGTTCGTATTGTTTTTATTTTGTATTTTTGTATTTTTTTGTAGTTTTTGTATTTGTGCTTTTTTTGTATTTTTGAAAAGTCGTATTTTATTTTAAAAATACAACTTTGTTTTCGAATTTTTTGGAAAATACAAAAACAAGGTCGTATTCTTCCCGTAAATTTTCAGCCTCGAACTGCGAACCGGCAAAACCCACCGGCAATCTTTTTGACAACCAACGAAACGTCGTCACGCTACCCGACAACCACGAGAGGCTGCTCCAAAGACAAGGGGGCCAGCTTCCCATCCCACCCATATCAATGCGTATCAAGTGGCAATTTACGTGCAAATTGCTTGCGTTTGTGCATTTTTGTTAGGGTCCTATTGTTGAAAAATACAAAAGTCAAAAGTGTATTTTTAAAAAATACAATTGGCATTTGTATTTTCCAATCGTATTTTTGGATTTTTTAAATTCTTTTAAGGCTTATAGGCTGTACCTGGATCCGGGGAACCAAAGCTACCGCTGTGTTTTCTCCATCATCCCTTCACAGCAGCTCAAAGGCTCCTGACACCTGGCTGGCGGTTGTGCCCGAGAGCGTCGGCGCAACCCCTGGCGGGTTGAGATATGCATCAAGTTCCTTGGGCGCGACTTGATGGGCGCGTTGCGAAGGCGCTCCGGCATGCTACCCCTGCCTTGTGGGCGTGAGAGCCAATCCGGTTCCACGTTCCAGTTGCCTGGTATGTGCTGCGTGATGACCCTCTTGATGCCACGCCGCTCAAAGCGGATCGCGAGTTCCGCTCCGACCCAGTTGATCACCGGCAACGGTGAGGCGAGTCGCTTCGCCACGGATAGTGCCACCACGCTGTCGCTGCGCAGCATCAACTTGGGAGGCGGACTCATTCCACGGCACCCCCAGCCAACGAGCATCGGACTCCTCCAGCAGGATCTCCACCGCCTCGATGATGGTGAAGGTTGGCCCATCGTGTGATCCATCGTCGCCAACAATGCTCCGATGCCTGTCAGACTAGCATCCGTCACGATGGCATAGTCCGGCAACTGCTCCTCCATGGGCTCCGTCCTCAATGCTAGCCTCTCCGGGTTCATTAAGAGGTTCATGAACCATTGCCTGGGAAGCTCTGGCCGTTTCACTGCAATGAGGCCCATCTTCAGTCGTTGGTCTGCCCTTCTCGTAGCCCGGCGCTTCTCCTCTTCTTCCGATCTCTTGGTGCCCGCCAGCACCGCGTACATGATTGATACCGCCCACCGGGCTCTTGGAAGGATGCCCGCAACCCATGACAATCTACCTGTGGTTTGTTGCGCTTCCCTCATGCTCACCATTCCCTTCTTCTCCCAGCTCGCCAAAACCTCTCGAATCTCCGAGATCGTCTTCTTGGGGGCCATGAGCTTGATCACCTCCTCCGCTTGCGCCACCTCGAACATGACTCCAATCCAGGTGCGCTGACTTCTTCTGGACCCTTTGCGCCATGCCAGATTGATGCCCAGCGCTCTT